CAATGTGTATTCCATCAATTCCTGGAGCCTTGTTTTTCACCAATGGCTTCAGTGCACCTTGGACTTTGTCCTTCAATACCATCAGTTCTTGATTATATGCTATCTCCTGAAATATGTGAACTTCAACCAATTCTTTCTGGTACAGTGGCTCTGTATATTCTTTCCATGTTCTTTTTTTTTTTTTTTAGGATTTGGGTGAAGATTTATAGAGTAAATTCACTTTTCATACAGCAGTTCACATATACTTTGTCTCATGTCATTGAGCAAAATTTACAATGCAGCAGCTCCCCTCCCACTTCCTCCCCATAGTTACCTCCTCCCAGTGTCCATCCCTTCATACTCTTCTGCACCCTGAGCTATCTCCCTGTGCATAAGCAGCCCTTCCTTCTCCCATGATTGTTCTCTCCAGGGCGTGTGTCTACTTGAGGTAAATGTAACTCACATGCTTGTACTTTGTTTGGCTGGAAACCACAGTTGTGGGTTCAATTCCAGACCTGAAGGGCAGCTAGGGGCCATAGTCTCAGTGGTTACACCAGGCTCTATTGGACCAGCAAACCTGGTCTTTCCATGTTCTTTTGATGTTTCCTGAATCATTCAATCTTTTGCCCACAGAATCCTTCAATACTGAACTCAAGGCCTGAATTTTTTCTTCAGTTCTTTCAGCTTGAGAAATGTTGACTGTGTTTTTCCCTTTTGGTTTTCTAACTCTAGGTCTTTGCACATTTCATTATAATAACTGACTTTGTTTTACTGAACTGCCTTTTTAAATTTTCTGCTATGAGTTGGCATGGACTGGAAGGCACTCAACAACAACAATCACACACCTGTAGAAGTAATCCCATGTGGGAACAGGGTGTTCTTTCTTACATTTTATCATTTCTTCCACCACTTGTCTGTCAGTTTATTGTATTGTTATGGCTTATGTGTTGCTGTGATGCTGGAAGCCATGCCACATGTATTTCAAATACCAGCAGAATCACCCAGAGTGGACAGATTTCAGTGGCTTCTAGATTAAGACAGACTAGGAAGAAGTATGTGGAGGTCCACTTCTGAAAAAATTGACCACTGATTGAAAACTTTATTAATAGCAGTGAAACACTGCTTCATATAGTATCAGAAAACTTTATGAACAACAGTGAAACCCTGATCTAGTGCCAGGAAATGAGTCCCTCAGACTGGAAGGTACTCAAAATACAACTGGGGAAGAGCTGCCTCCTCAAAGTAGAGGTGAACTTAATGATGAAGATGGAGTAAAGCTCCTGGGACCTTCATTTGCTGATGCAGCACAACTCAAAGCGAGAAGAAACAGTTACAAATATCCATTAATAATTGGAACGTGGAATGTATAAAGTATGAATCTAGGAAAATTGAAAGTTTTAAAAAATGAAATGGAATGCATAAAGATCAATATCCTATGCATTAGTACAGCTGAAATGGACTGGTAATGGCCATTCTGAATCATCTAATCACATGATCTACTATGTCGGGAATGACAAATTGAAGAGGAATGTCTTCACAATCATCAAAAAGAGTATTTCAAGATCTATCCTTAAGTGCAATGGTGTCAGTGATATGGTAATATCCATATACCTAAAGGAAGAACAGTTAATACTACTATTATTAAAATTTACACACGAACCACTAAAGCCAAAGATGAAGAAATAAAAGATTTTTTACTAACTTTGACCAAACAAGCAATCAAGATGTATTGAGTATTACCGGTGACTAGAATGTGAAACTTGGAAACAAAGAAAAAGCATCAGTAGTTGGTGATATAGGTGATCTGGCTATACTGAATAGAAGAAAAGACTAAGAAAGCTACTACTAAAAACCAAAAACCAAACTTACTGCTGTCAAGTCAGATCTGACTCATAGCAACCCCTCCTTGGGTTTCCGAGGCAGTATCACTATGGAAGTAGATTGCCCAACCTTTCTTCCAAGCAGTGGCTGGGGGGTTTGAACTGTCAGCCTTCTGGTTAGCAGTCAAGTGCCTTAAGTACCATGCTACCAGAGCTCCTAAGAAAGCTACTAGAGCCATGAATTCAGCAAAGGTAATGGGTACAAAGTCAACACACAAAAATGAGTTGGGTTTCTATACTTCAATAATGAGTAATTTGAGAAAAAAATCCATTTACAATAGCACCTGAAAGAGTAAAACAGGCAGGAATTAATGTGACCAGGGAGGTGAGACTTGTACACTAAAATGTATAAAACACTGCTTAAAGAAATTAGACCTAAATAAAGACATCCCGTGTTCATGGATTAGAAGACTCAATATTGCTAAAATGGCAATACTACCAAAAGCAATCCATAGATTCAATACAGTTCTATGCTATCATATGAAGTTGCTATGAGTTGGCATGGACTGGAAGGCACTCAACAACAACTGCACACCTGTAGAAGTAATCCCATGTGGGAATAGGGTGTTCTTTCGTACACTAATGAGGTCATATCAGTGTAGGGTATATCCTAAACTGAAAGACTTCTTAGTTATAAAAAGAACAGATTAGATAAATACAGAAACAAACATAAAGGTGGTGTGTGTATGTGGTGGGGGTAGTGGAGTTACATGAAAATCTTCAAGGAACCAAAAAAGATAGGGGTGTGTGGGGGGCTACAGAAGCTGAAAGAAACAAAGGTCTTTCCCCAAAGCCGAGAGAAAACCTTCTTCTATGTCAAAAACCCTGAATTTGGACTTAAAAACCTCCTGAACTGTGACAAAATAATTTTCTGTTCTTTAAAGCCCCATGCTTGTGATATTTCTGTTACAGTAGCAGTAGGAAACTAAGACAGCAAGTGTTACACTATATATTGCTTATGTATATTCTCAGATGGTATATAATTCTGCAAAGACTTGTGTCTTAATGGGAATTTAATGGTGTCAAGGTTAAAAACTGACCTCTTTGGCCTTAATGCCCTTTGGTTTAGAGGGTATTGGAGGTTCTATGATGTTAGTAATCAATGACTGGATCTGGAAGTCCTGGACCTGGTGTCAGAAGACTTACACTGATCTTGGAATTTGGATATAATGGGGAGAAACAATAAGAGTGTCTATCATCTATGTACCTTTGGAGATTTTTTAATATGTTTGGACCATCATGAACTTTAAGCCAGGTAAAGGTACTTACTGTATGTTACATTACTGACTGCATTCTACTAAAAATGCTATTTCTCATTAACAAACAAAATAAAACAAACAAATGAAAAAAAAAAAACCTAGAAAACTTGGGGGCTAAAATATGTTCTTAGAATAAAATTAACATGAAAATATTTTTGTTTTCTAGAATAGAATATACTCTTAAATTCATTTTAGATATTAATCTTTTAAATATTTTACCTAGAAGCTGAACATAGTTTCTCTGCTTTCAAAGATAGAAACAAAGGGATATATTTAAAACAAAAGTACATCAACTGGGCCCTAGTGTACAAGATAATAACTAACAGTTGCCTACACAGTATCACTTTGAATTTATGAAAAAAATATATAGGCTTTTCAAGTACAGGAGCTTCTTTTATAGTTTTGTAGTCAGAAGGTATAGTCTAATGAAAACAGTAGCGTAGAAGTACACATACTCTTTCACAGTATCTTAAAATAATTTGTTTTAGGGCTTCTCTTTGCCATGTCAATATGTAACCTCAGAGGTTTTATGTCCATATGGATTTTTCACTGAATCACCACCACCACCACCACCACCAATGCATCACTAAAGCCGTTACCACCAACATTACTGCTCGACACATTTTGAGCATTAAGTTAGTTGTACATTTCAACTGTGGTAGGAACCACTAAAAAACAACAACAACAACAACAACAAAACCCACTGCTGCTCAGTCAAGGAGCTGTGGTAGCATAGTGCCTCAGGCATCTGACTGCTAACCAGAAGGCTGGTGGTTCAAAACCCACCAGCTACTTTGTGGAAGCAAGACTGGGCAATCTACTTCTATGAAGATTTACCACCTCGGAAAGCCAATGGGGGTTGCTATGCATCGGAATCGACTCGATGGCAGTGGGTTTGGTTTTTGTTTGGCTGTTGAGCCAATTCCCACTCACAGTAACCCTATAGGACAGAACAGAACTGCCATATAGCATTTCCAAAGCTGTAAATCTTACAAAAGCAGACTGCCACATCCTTCTCCCACAGAGCAGTGGGTGGGTTCGAACCCACCAGTGTGCCACCACCAGTTTCTGTCAATTCCTATTCATGGCTGTCAGAGCAGAACTGTGCTCCACAGGATTTTCAATGGCTGGTTTTTCAGAAGCAGATCACCAGGCCTTTCGTCTGAGGAGTCTCTGGGTAGACTCCAATCTCCAACATTCTAGTTGGAAAGTAGCTAAATGTGTTAATTCTTTGCCCCCTGGTAATCCATTTTTCAACTGATTTCACTGTTTGCTTTCCATTTTCAACCAGATCCCATATCAAAACTTGTGGAGCTAGTGATTATTTTTGTATTCTCTTTTACTGTACATTATAGTGAAAATATGGATGAATAGAATCCATAATTTTAGACTAAGAAAAAAACATGTCCCATAAGGGTAATAAAGTTGAGGCAGACCTTTTTGCAACCCTAACCAGAGAGTTCATAGTCAAGCAAAAAGTTCTGAATTTGAAACTGTTCTAAAGCAGGGATGTGAGCTCTGGGCTCAGAGCCTTACACAGCAGGTCTCAGGAAATGGTGGCTAGATTATTTTGGGTAACTCTGATACATTACAATCTTCAGTTAGCTACTGTGTCTCACTCATAAAAACAGTAATCCAGGTGTTATACACATTTTATTTATAATAAGGAATTCTTTTTTGCATACAGCTGTGGGGTCAATGGCTATACAGTCCACTAAACCACAGGACTCCATATTAACCATTCAGAATGGCATGAATGGATGCATCAAAACCTGACTGTAAACAACTTAAGAAGTTCCACATTATGAAGTATCTTCCCCAGGGCCTAGCATTTTATGCCTCCACTTTTCACTCTCATGGAGGGTTAGGCAGAACATTCTACCTGATGGAGATGTCCAAGGAAAGCCTGGGCCTGGGCTGTTGAGATTGCTCCTCCAACGGGCACAGGCTGCTTCTGAAAGTCCAGACCATTTGTTTGCGTGCCTAGGAAACAAGCAAAATAATTATAATTCCTACAGAAATAAGCCCAAATGAAACAAAGCACTACACTTCAGTTACCAACGTTCATCAGGCACCAAGTACCACTGAAGAGGAGACTGGATTCAAAAGGAAGAGGAAATAAAGTAAAATAGTTTTTCTTCTAAAGGCAGAACTAGAGGACAAGTACACAAACATAGCTAAAGCTTATGAAACAGAAACAAAGAATATAAATAATGAATTACAATTATAAGATAGCATTAGAGAATTCAGAAGTGAATGCAGTGATTGGCAAGACTAGAGTTGAACAGTCATGAAAGGTAAGAAGGCTTTAGGGAAAAGAAATGATCACTACTGTAAAAAAGTAGTAGAGACTGGGTTCCATGGAACTATTGGCTCCTGGAACACCTCCATATTGATCACCTTCACATAATAGAGTTCTATAAAAGATTTCATTCGGAAAAAAGAGCTCTGGTGCTTATAATCATCATCATCATCACCATCATCAAGGGCAGCTACTGATATCTAATCCAGCAACTGCACCTTAACTTAAAGATAACTTAAAGATAAAGAAAGATGATGTGAAAGGTTAAAATTCCTGACCAGATGGTTGAATGTCTTATCCCTAGTGGCACGCATTCTAGAAGAAGGCATCAAACTATAAATATTTAAAGATGTCAATAGCCAAATCAGTGAGCTGGTATTTGTAAGGAAGTAAGTTTTGTTGCTGCTGCTATTCAGATTCTGAGTTGGAATACTTCGTGTTAAAAGGGTGGGTTAAAGGGAAGGCTCATGAATGATCTTAAAGCTAATGGTAACAGAATTTTAAATTTTATATAAAGGCAACTGGAAGTAATACTTGGCTAAAATTGAGATGAAGGTAAATACAGACTTGAGGAGACAAGTAGTTTTTTTTTTTTTTTCTTTCTATTGTGATTTGGGTGAAAATTTACAAAGCAAATACACTTTCCATACAGCAGTTCACATACACTTTGTCTCATGACATTGACCACAACTTACCACAATGCAACAGCTCCCCTCTTACTTCCTCCCAATACTTATCTCTTCCCTGTGTCCATCCCTCCATGCACTCCTGCCCCCTGAGCTGTCTCCCTGTGCATAATCAGCCCTTCTTTCTCTCATGCTTGTTCTCTCCAAGGAGTGTATCTACCTCAGGTAAATGTTCAACTCATATGCCTGTCTATTGTTTGGCTGGAAGCCATAGGCATGTGTTCAATTCCAGACCTGAAGGGCAGTTAGGGGCCACAGTCTCAGTGGTTCCACCAGGCTCTATCAGGCCAGCAAACCTGGTCCTCCCCCTTTATTTTCCCCCCACAAATGATTTGGAGTTTTGTTCCACATTGTTCTCCCTCTCTATCCAGGATCTCCTACATAGATCGCCCCTCTGAGTGGTTGACATTAGTAGCTGGGCACCATCTAGTTCTTCTGGTCTCATAGTCATATAGGCTGTGAATCGCATGGTATACCAGTCGCTAGGACTAATTGTTTCCATGAATCTTTGGTTTTCTTCATTCTTACTTTGCTCTGGATGACAAGAGACCCATCATTGCATCTAGATGGCTGCTTGCAAGCTTTTAAGATCCCAGTTGTTACTTGGTGAAAGTAGGAGGTGGAACAATGTTTTGTATAGTATATTATGCCAATGGAACTTGATGTCCTCTGCGTCTACGGTCCTGAGCCCACAGGTTCAACTACTCGGTCCCTCTGGGTAGCTGGCTGTGACCAAGCAGTGACTACAACCTTGCCCCTTGTCAGTTCCACTATACACCTGGGAATTCAGATCATACACATAAAGTTATAGGATCATTGTCTGCCAACCCTATACATGTTCTGGGTACACTCCCCACTTCATAGACATACCTAATAGTTCAGCCTGTCCACCCATCTATCCACCCATATATCCGTGTTTGCCTTCACTGACCACGCCATACTATATGTGCAAAAGGATTCATCTTTGTAAGACAAGTAGTTTTAAGAACTGTTAAATACACTGTGGCTCAAGTTTCAGTTAGACAATAGGCAGGCCTATGAGGTGAACAGGGAGCTCTCTCTGGTGGCATAGTGCCTAAGGTATTTGACTGCTAACCAGAAAGCTGGCAGTTCAAACCCACCAGCCACTCCTCAGAAGGAAGACTGGGCGATCTACTTCCGCAGAGATCTCACTGCCGTTGAGTTGGATCCAACTCATAGCGACTCCTTCTTGTGTTTCTGAGGTGGTATCACTATGGAAGTAGATTGCCCAACCTTCCTTCCAAGGAGTGGCCAGTGGGTTTGAGCCACCAGCCTTCTGGCTAGCAGTCAAATGCCTTAGGCTAACATCTCAGAAACCCAAGGAGGGGTCACTATGAGTCGGATTTGACTGGACAGCAGTGAAACTGGTTTTGTTATAAGATGAACAATAACACCAGGAAGGTACTACATACTGCTTAGGATGATCAACCATAGGAGATCAAAAGGGCAGCCAGTATTTGCCCAGGCATGAAGCTCAGAAGGAAGAAAGAAACAGGGAAGAAGGACAAAAGGAAATGACAAACACAGGGAGGAGGTGGGAAGAGTACTATTACACTGTGGGTAATGCAATTAAAGTCATGAATCAAAATATGTATGAATTGTTGAATGGAAAACCAATTTGCTATGTAAACTTTTACTGAAATCACAATTAACAAAATAAAACAAAAGAAACCAGAAAAATTAGCTGGAAATCTCCAGCTAATGATGCTGTAATAAGAAAAGAAAACAGTTGAGTAAGAATGGAAGAATTTGTAGAATCTGAAGAAGTATTTGTCAGAGATTTAAAAGTGATTTTAAGACTCCTAGGTTAAATCTCAGGACATAGAGGGGTACAGGCACATGTTTAACAATATGTGCTTAATAAACTTTGCAAGTAGGAGAGTATCAGAAAACAAAACAAATTCTTTGGTAGAAGGATAAAGGAAGCTGCCAACAACAAGAGGGTAAGAACCCATTACAAATATAAGCAGAGCCATTAGAGCACAATGCTTCTTGCCACAGACTCTAGAGGAAGAATAGATGCTCAATGGCACCAAAAATAGGAAAGATGCCTCTTCTACTCTCATCCATCTAGATATTTCGGGCTTAGACAGAAAAAAAAAGACACCAAAGGCCACTAAGAGCAAGAAGGATTTCACTACAGCTTAAAATGTTTTTAGTGGTTGATAATCTTAAGACAAAAGCAAGCCCTTACATAATAACCTTGAGGAAAACAAATGTTTCACTAATTTCGTAAATCCCAAAGTATAGATAGATGGCTGTATATATCTCATTAGCAAGGTTTCAACTAAAATTCTATTTTTCTAAATGTTAGCCCAATGCATTTTAATGACTTATGCTATGACTTGATATTGAGAATAGGGCTAATTTGTATAAAGACATACCACCTTAACATCCAGAAATATTTTCTAAGGGATATAATGCAATGTTTTCACATTACTACATCCAGCTACTATTTAGAAATAACCAGAATATTTTGTTCTGAATTAAATTAAAATAGAAGGCTATAATGCATAGAAACTGCAGTCAAGGTATCAGACATTGTACTGCACTGGACAAATCTGCTGCAAAAGACCTCTTTAAAGTGTTCAGAAGTAAAGATGTTACTCTGAAACCCTTAGTTAAGAAACACCATTCATAGTTCCCAACCCAATCCATGATATTTTCAATCGCCCCATATGCATGTGAAAGCTGGACAGTGAATACAGAAGACCAAAGAAGAACAGATGCCTTTGAATTACGGTGCTGGTGAAAAATACTTAAAATACCATGGACTGCCAGAAGAACAAACAAATCTGACATGGAAGAAGTGCAGCTGGAGTGCTCCTTAGAATTGAGAATGGCCAGAGTTCATGTCACATACTATGTTCATGTCATGTTGTTAAAAGGGGCCATCCCTGGAGAAGATTATCATGCTTGGTAAAGTAGAAGGTCAGGAATAAAGAACACCTTCAATGATATGGAATGACACAGTGGCTACAACGATGAGCTCAAGCACAGCAAGGATTGTGAGGATTGACAAAGGATCGGGCAATATTTCATTCTGTTGTACACAGGGGTACTATCTGTTGGAGTCCACCTGATAGCACCTAACAACAACAATGAGCTTGGTGATGCTGGAGTTAAAGCATTGGGCTGCTAACCAAAAGGTCAGCAGTTCAAACTCACTACCAGCTCCACAGGAGAAAAATGAAGCAGTCTGCTTCTGTAAAGATTACAGATTTACAGTCTTGGAAACCCTATGGAGCAGTTCTACTTTGTCCTTGCCATGGTCTAAGGAACTCTGCTGTTCCAGTGGTTAAGGCATTTGGCTGCTAACTAAAAGGTCAGTGGTTCAAACCTACTGGCCACTCCACAGAAGAAAGAAGTGGCAGTCTACTTGCATAACGATTTACAGACTTAAAAACCCTATGCAGGTTGCTGTAAGTCAGAATTAACTTGATGGCAGTGAGTTTGGTTTGATTTGGTCTTACAATTCTCATAAAATGATTGAGTGAGACTATGCTAATAAGGTGCCTATGGTCTACCAAGGGGATTGATCAGTTTTGTAATCCTGCTAGGCTGAAAGGGGACCCTAATATCATCAAGAAAAGCCAAAAGCAAAGCCAAAAGCAGAGTGTGTCCTTTGGACTCAGGGTCCCTAAAATGAGAACCTCTTAGATCAAGGAGAAAGAGAGATATAATCTACTAGAAGGCTATAATACTGCAGGGAAGAACAGCATAAGATGGCAGCAGCATGACACAGCAGCAGCATAGGATCTGCAGATAGCTGCAGTGGGTTTGCTACCCCAGTGATCAAGAGAGCTGAGCTCCTTCAGGCAGGAGGCTTCTTGGCAGAGTGGTGCTTCCTTCCAGGCACTTACTGACAAGCTGAAGAGTTAAAAATAGAGCAGGAACCTGAATGATATCAGACAAATTAAGAGTAGAAAACAGATTATAATAATGGAAAAGAAGAAATATTTCTCTTTTAGATG